AGCGTGCCGGTGCTTGCGTGTCGGCCTCAATGAAGATGGAGTGCAGGTGGGGGTTTCCGAAAATAGGGGACCCTAATATAGTGCCCTAAATAGTAGGATCCTTATTATAAGGACCCCAAAATAAGGCCCTAAACCCTAAACCCTAAACCCTAAACCCTAAACCCTAAACCCTAAACCCTACCCCAAAATAAGGTACCCCTAATTTTCGGAAACTCCCAGGTCGTGGTCTGGCAAGACTTGAGTCCAACAGCAAAAGGGTTGGCGTTTAGGATTTTTCCGATTTGTGGGCGGTTTGGGTGGGCTGTTGGGTTTAGGGTTTATGGCTTTGGGCCTTCTTTGGCATAAGATTCAGGTTTAAGGTATGCTCTGAAACATTGCAGTTCGGGTAGTTGACGGTGGGTGGAGATGTGACCACGACATCTGCCAATGCTTTGGGCCCTGTAGCGGTTTGGTTTCTTGAGTTGGCGGCAGGGTTACCTTTGTTCCCTGAATTGAATTTGGATGTTCCCCAATCTCCACCCAAAATCCGGATGCCGTCTCGATCCTCCCTGAGCAAGACCCTTACGGTTTTTGAACGCTTTAGCAGATCCCTTTCAGCAAGCCTTACAGAAGCCCTATTCTAGCGATGAAGACCGTCATGATACCTACCGCAAACCCTAAACCGATAAACCCTGAAGCGAATCCCTGGCCCAGGCCAGTGGAAGCTTTGATAACTGGCCTCATGGCCGAGGGGTGCGAACCCCACTTGGAGGGTTCATGAAAAGGGCTCAGGGTTTAGGGTCCTTCTAGACTCACAAAAGCTATAGGTGTGGCTGCAGGTTTACAGTACTGTGATTGAGCTTATAAGTACTTGGAAGTAGGATTGTGCGCTTCGTTAGCCGGGTTATGAATACCCCAATCGGGCTTGCAAGCATTTGCAAGCATAGCTAATCTATTTGTAACACGCAGTTACCATAGCCCCAGTCGCTGTCGGGATGTTTAGAGTCAACCATCTTCTGCTCCCGTGCCTGCAAACAGACAGAAACAGAAGCCACGTCACCTCAGCCCTAAACCTAAACGCTAAACCCTAAACCCTAAGCCCTCAACCCTCAACCCTCAACCCTAAACCCTCAGCCCTAAACCCTAAACCCTCAACCCTCGACGGCCTCGGAGGTCCCTCCCGTGTCAGAAGAGAGGAGATTTCGAACCCCTGAGTGCTTTGAAGCTGCAGGGTTTGGGGTTTAGGGTTTAGGGTCACCCCGAACCCTAAAGTGCCGAAGCCCCTAACGCGAAACCCAAAGCAGCAAACCTCGAACCAGAACCGCCAGAACCCTAAAAGGCCCTAAGGCCCAAGCTCACGAAGAGTCGGGGTAGCTTTCTTTTTTGGAAGAGTCCCGCTCGGAGTGGCGAGCCTGCTAAACTGTCTCCGGGGGGTTCGGGGTAGGGTTCAGGGTTCAGCGTAAAGGGTATAGGGGTTCGTTTCAAAAAAAACTGCAAAGGAGTTCAGGATTTTTTGGTTTCAGGGGATTTCGGGGCTTAATGCATTGCAGTCCCTGCTGAAAAAAAGGGTTTTTTGGGGTGTCTCTACAGATCTAACCCTCATGGAACTGCATTGGGCCGGCGAAGGTCTTTGCCTCTGCCGATCGCGATTTGGCTGTGTGGACGAACCGCCAGGTCGGGGTTGCCCAGAGTTTGAGGGATTTCATGTAGGGGCGCTAGGAATTAGACCAATAGAGCCCTAAACCCTAAACCCTCTAGGAGAGAGACTGTGAGGGGAATCGTGATTGAGGCTTAAGGGGCTAGTGCTCTCAGGGATGTTTTGGGGATGTTTTGTTGGGGCTGTAGGGCAGGGCGTTGACGGTTCACGGTTGAGCCAAAACATGTAGGTTTCGGATTAAGGCTTACAATTTAGGGTGTTGGGTTGGCTTTTTGTCGAGTCAGGTGGACATCGAAAGCTCGGGCATTGGAGGGTTCACTCCGAGTGGCTTCGGTAGCGTCACTGACACAGGGGCCTTAATAGCTACAGTCTGCAATAGGCTTCGGGGTCTGTGACTGTTGCACATAATCAGGGAGACCGTGGGGGATATTGCTAGATAGTCCGACCTCCAGATTCCGAGGTCTTGTTAAGGCCGAAACAGCTGAAACCCAAACGCCGGCAACCTAAAACCTAAACCCTAAATCCTAAGCCGGAAACCCTCAACCCTAAACCCTAAACCCTAAGCCGGAAACCCTAAACCCTAAACCCTAAACCCTAAACCCTAAACCCTAAACCCAAGCCGGCAAGCCTTGTTCAACGACAAGCGTTGGAGCTGCTCTGGGCCATCAGCTCTTCTATGGGACCCCCCCCTAGGGCGCGGAAGCTGCGAAGCCGCTAAACCCTTAACCCTGAACCCCTAAACCCTTTTTTAACCCTAAACTCCAAAAAAAAGACCTACACCCTAAACCCCCTAAACCCCCTAAACCACCTAAACCCCCTAAACCCCCTAAACCCCCTAAACCCCAGACCCAAAAGCCTGAATCCTAACACTAGAACAGGGTCCTGGAAGCGGTTCTTTCAAGGGGGCTATCAGGGTTGTATCGGGGGCTCCCGGGTTCGAAATCTGAGGGCCCTTATCACTAGAATAGGTTCAGGGATTAGGGTTTAGGGGAAGTTCGAGCTCCAGTCAAGCCTGTGTAAAAGGGGGAAGTTAGGATGTAGGGTTCAGGGTTCAGGGTTTAGGGTTCAAGGTTTAGGGTTTAGGGTTCAGGGTTTAGGGTTTAGGGGCATTCAGCAAGTCCGGGTTCAAAAAGGGTTTGGGGTTTACCGGGCTGCTGGACAACGAGACCTGTTGCAAAACGGGCTTAGGGTTTAGGGCCTAATAGGTTCCGGGGTGTACTGCAGACAAAACCGATGTTGGGACTGCGATGTGATTTCTAAGCGATTCTTAGCACGGCCCGAAGCCCGTTGTCGATTCTGCCGACCTAGACTCTAACCCTTAAGCCTGCGCCCTAAACCCTAAACCCTAAACCCCTAAGCCTGCGCCCTTGAAGGAGCCGTGGCCCGAGATTTAGAACAGTAAAGAGCCTACGCTGAGCTCTGAGCTCCTCGCCCACAGAGGGGTCAACGTTCAAGGCTCGAAAGGAATAAAGGGTTCCCCTTAAAGGAAGCCCCCCTTTTACAGGATCCCCCTTTGAAGGAATCCTCAAAGGAACCCGAACGGATAGGAACCCTCAAAGGTTTTTTTTTTTTTTAATTTTCTGTGCCAGGAGCACCTGACGATTGTGTCCGTCGCCACGGGCGATGGCTTGGGCAAAGCCTACAGGCGTTAAGGGTTTGGACAGGATTTGGGGTTTGGTTGGTCTAGGGTTTCGTTTAGGGTTGATGGCCTGCACTGAGGGAGAAAGGATCCTAGACCCGTGCCTTCCTCGCGAGTGTGCGAGTCGAAAAAACGTGTATCCCTTACAGCAATCGAAGGCATGTTGAGGAAGCACATTGATTATCTGAAGAAATCTTACGTAGCATCGGCAAAGCTCAAGCAAACAGTATGTTCCGTAGCGGAAGGGTGCAGTGTTTCGATTTGCGTGCATTTGCATCAATGCTGTGTGCCTGATCCTTGGTCTCTGTCTGTAGGAAGCCGGTCCGGCTTCCAACAGCTAGTGCCATTGCGGTTTGGCCACAGACCCCGTGCAAAATGTGTTGTCAGTACCCTGCCTCAGTTGGGTTTGACGAGGTCGTGAATTTGATGTAGTGCTTTGGTCCGCTACCCGAACCACGCGGACTGCGGCGCAGACGCATTGTAGCCAAACCCTAAACGCCCTAAGGCCCGAACCCGTAGCCTCGGAACAGCAAACAATCCAAATCCGAAACCGCGAAACCTCTCGACCCGGATCCGGTAAGCCATTGCAGATCCCGCAGAGCTTTACGCAACCCCTCGCAAAGCCTGACGGTAGGAAGCTCCCCGAGAACCCGAACCCCGAAGCTTAACCGAAAACCCTTCGCCCCCAGAACCAGAAAATCCTTCAGGATCCCATGCAACCCTAGTATAAAAAAGCAGTTACGCAGTCCTTATGAACCTTTTGCAGCACATTGTATAAGGAAAAAACTCTGCAACAACCTCTTCTGCAGCAGCTTTTCACGAGGATTCTTGCCCTTCAAAACCCTAAACCCTAAACCCTAAACCGGCATGTCCGAGAGTGAGTGCTGAAACCCTAAACCGAAGTGTCGGACAGGAAGCTGGTCAGAGCCCTCGATGGCCTTGGGCAGATCATTCAGCGGGGAAAGCCGGGCGCGGACGAGGCTCAGAACGCGGGCGTAGGGTTTGTGAAGTGATTGCTCTTTACCTACAGGGGCCCGAATAAAATTACCTATCTTATTTTGGGGGCTCCTTAGTATATTTATACTATAAAGGACCCCAAGACCCCATTCTAACTGTTAATGTCCCTCCATTTACGGGGGATCTTCGGCCTAGGCTTCAGTCCGTTGTCATTCACAGCTTTTCCTGTGCGCTCCTACCTTGAAAGGGGGTGAGGGTTGCATGGGCGCTGGCCGGCATGTCAGTCCGTGCTGAAACAAGGTTCAAGGTTTAGGGTTTAGGGCTTGTAGGGTTGCATGGGCGCTGGCCGGCACCTCAGTCCGTGCTGATAAAGGGCTTGTAGGGTTTAGGGTTTAAGGTTCAGGGTTCAGGGTTAAGGGTTTGGCCTGGCATAATTCGTTGGTTACAGGCTGCTGCAGAGGTCGCTTCTTTGGGATTTTCTCACGGCCGATGGCACGGCAGAGTCGTGTCTGCAAGGATTTTCAACATCTCCTGTTCACGGAAGTTAGCCCGGAGAACGTCAAGCCGGTCAGTAGGCTGCCATGAGCACCGTCGATGCAGTGCGTCGTGATGCCGGCGTGCGAGCTAAGGGTTCTAGGGAATTTTTCTGCGCTGGCAGGCAATTTCGTAGCCAGAGACGAGCCAGGAAACCCGCCGCATCAGCGGAGCATGCGCAGCCGACGCCTGAATCATGTCCTTACCCGTAGGCCCTAAAGTAGTTCCTTTTTGGGGTTCATATATAGAACCCTATAAAGTAACCCCAAAAAAGAACCTATAAGGTAACCCCAAAAAGGAACCACAATAGAATCCTGCCGAAACCTGCACGCTGCAGCCCAAACCCTGCAGAGCAGACCTCGATCCTGATCCCCAGCCCTACCTTAGCCTACCGAAGCCTACTTTTTTGTAGGGTCCCTATGAATCCGATATTAGGGTTTAGAATAAGAACCAACAAAAAAGTGGGTTATGGTTGGTTAAGGTAGATTCCTATCTAGAGTCTCCATTGTAGTTCTTTTTTTGTTCAGCCAATTATAGATTGAGGATTTTATAAGGTATCCCCAAAAAGGAACTACAACGGAGACTCTAGGTAGATTCCAGAAGCTAACCCAAGACACCCCAAACCAACCCTGTAAAACTTCAACGGGCGAAAATTCAATTCGAGCTTTTTGAGAGTCTCTCACACCCTAAACCCTAAACCCTAAACCCTGTCCGAGTTGTGAGAGTGTAAAGCCTAAACCCTAAACCCAATACCCAAACTCGAAACCCTAAACCCTAAACCCTAAACCCTAAACCCTAAGCCCTAAACCCTAAACCCTAAACCCTAAACCCAAACTCGACCAGGCCTTTGCAACGTCGGAGCGCCTGGGCTTCCTGACCTCGGACTTACACCGTGCTTGGCCTCGGCCCATTGGTTTTGGGGCTTTGGGGCCTTAAAGGGATCACCTAAAAAGGGGTTTAGGGTTCAGGGTTTAGGGTTTAGGGTTTAGGGTTTAGGGTTTAGGGGTTTAGGGCTCAAAAAAGGGGCTTAGAGTTTGGGGTTCGCCTGCGTAAAAAGGGGGGTTTATCTCGCGGTTTAGGGAGGTTGGGTCAACCCTACACAGGTTTGCTCTAAGCCCTCATTTTGTTCCCAGCAGAGGCTCTTGCAACCCTAAACCCTACACCCTAAACCCTAAGGGGTTTCGAGTGTAAAGCTTAGGCCGACCAAAAGGGGCCTGGGGCTTCAGGCCATTAGGGTTTAGGGTTTAGAGTTTAGGGTTTAATTTGGGTTTCGGGTTAATTTGCGCTGGCCGGCACCTCAGTCCGTGCTCAAAGGGTTAATTTGGGCTTCGGGCTTCAGAGGTTTGGGGTTTATTGAGGGTTTAGGGCTTCAGGGGTTGTAGGGGTCACCAGCAACTCCAGACTCTGAGGGTGTCAGCCGGTGTCAGCCGCGGAAAGGAGACAAATGCAGCAACATACAGGGTTATATCTGCCTTAACAAATGTACACTCATGCAAAAGTAAAACAATTATATCAATAAGCTCAACCAAGCATAAATACGCCTGTGTGTATATACACAGGCTCTATGTATGTACATGCGTATAGAACCCTCCCAAAACCCGACTAGTCAGGCCCCTCTAACATCAAACCCTTCGGCAGTCCTCATGCTGTAGAAAGAAGGGGTTTTATCTTCCCACGCCCAAAACCCTAAACCTAAACCCTAACTAACGTACCAAGCTCTTTTTTTAAGCACCCTAAACCCTAAACCCCTTGAAATTAGTATAGTTACTTCCTAAACCCTGCTTCGCGACTCGCTCAGCCATGCAGGAGGCAAAAAAAACCCAAACAGCTTTAGCTTCCCAGAACTCCAAGCCTCCGTGGCCCTGCGCCGAGGCCTCGGCGCCGCCCTCCATGCCAGAGCCCCCGGTGTAACTTCGAAATTGGTCTGCTTGAACCGGGCTTTGTGGAAAGGGGTTAGGGTTGAGGGACTGACGGCTCGAGAAGGAAAGAGGTTAGAACTTGCATGTTCCGCAATGATGTAGCTCCGTTTGGTTCCGTTCCTGGGTGTCGCTTTTTTCCTGGGTAATCGCTTTGAGAGTGGGAGTGGCACCCCTCATGCTCATATCATGTCACAGTGTATGCTTATCTATGTGTGTGCTGTCGCTGTTGCATTGTCTGTTGGCCGTTGACTGCTGCATGTGTGCATTTGTGTCTGCGATGTGCACGTAGCTATGGGTGCGTATTTGTGTTCGCGCGCGCGTGCGCGCATGTGTGTGTGTGTGTGCGCGGTGTGCGTGTGTGTGTGTGTGCGCGCGTGTCTTTGTGTGGATCTTGTTTTGTTTCTCTCTCTCTCGCTCTCTTTCTGCCACTGTGCGGCTCTGTGTTTGTTTCGCTGGCTCTTTCTGCTTCCCTCCTCTTCCCTCGGCGCCTGTAGCCGAAAGAACTGCGTGGAACCTCAATCCACCGGCCGGAGGCCAGCGTGCTGCTAAAGCTCCCTCGACTGGCAGCCATGGAAGCAGCAGAGCTCGGACATGGGGAGGGCATGAACAACACGATGAGGGATACCATGTTGGGCTTAACACAGGCTTTGCTACCAAACGTTACTTTGCTGGGTTGCCATCTGGTTCCCATGTTGCTATAGATTCTTGTCATTCGTTTCTTCACAACAGTGCTGCGTGAAAGTTAAGTGGGATTAGGGTGTAGAGGTGTTGATGTATCAGTGTGGTTTCGTAGGGGTATCTGACCTATGCAGTCTTCTGTTCTGTCTACAGCATGTCGGGCGAACATTGTGCTTGCAATACAATCGCTATGTTGCTCTTGACGATGTATTTATGTGAGGATGCTGTTCGATACCTGTGGTTTTGATATTGTTGTTCTGTCTGGCTTTTGGGCCGGGGGCTTAGTCCTAAACCCCAAACCCTGAACCCTAAACCCTAAACCCTAAACCCTGAACCCTAAACCCTAATTCTTGAACCCTGAACCCTAAACCCTAAACCCTAGACCCTGAACCCTAAACCCTTGATTTGGGTGGGAGAAAAGCCCCCTGTGATTCCTGCGAGCAGGCTCCAGGTCTTTTTAAGCTTTGAGCCGCTCAGTGTGGGGAGGCTATATGGGGGTTTCCGAAAATTAGGGGGGCCCTTCTATAGCACCTTATAAGGACCCAAAATAAGGGTACCCTAAAATAGCACCCTAAATAGCAGGATTCGTATTATGGGGACCCAAAATAAGGGGACCCCAATATAGCACCCTAAATAGCAGGATTGCTGATCCTTATTTTTAGGACGCAAAATAAGGGGGCTCAAGTAAAGCGCCCTAAATAGTAGGATCCTTATTATTAGGACACAAAATAAGGGGACTCAAACAAGCACCCTAACTATTAGGATCTTTATTATATGGACCCAAAACAAAAGGTGCCCCGTATTTTCGGAAACTCCCATATTATAACTATAACCAACTATAATCTAGGGGCCTTAATAATTAGAATGGGGCTTGGGGGTATATTCATACTATAACTTTAATATAGGGGCGTTAATCAATAGAACAGGGTTTGGGCTTCTGCGCAAATCGTGGCCCTGCTTGACTTCCTGGCCGATGGCGTGCATTCGTTTTCATGAGACTCCGCAACTTCCGGCCAAAACCAGGAATCAATAGATCCGCACGGCTGGAGGGCCGCAGCCTACATCCCAATCACCCAATCATAATCATAACCCTGACCCCCACCACGTAACTGCGGGCGATCTCAGTCTCATGGGCATGGACCGGGCCGTGGGATGTTGCACCGAGTTGCGGAAAAGCAGCTGGCAAAAGGCAAGGACGACACCAACATCACACTTGGACGGTTTAGGGCCTAGGGTGACTGGAGAACCCAACAAACCCAAAGCCATTGTTGCATGTTTAGACATTTATCCGAGCCCCACTGTAGGGCTCCTCTCAGCAAGTTTCTGCTTGAGTAAGCCCAAACCCTCGGCCCTAAACCCTAAGCCGTAAACCCTAAACCCTAAACCCTAAACCCCCCTCCAAGAAAAAAACCACCCTAAACCCTAAGCCTTAAACCCTAAACCCTACACCCCCCTCCAAGAAAACAACACCCTAAACCCTAAGCCTTAAACCCTAAACCCTAAACCCCCCTCCAAGAAAAAGGCACCCTGAACCCTAATTAAGCCTTAAACCCTAAACCCTAAACCCCCCTCCAAGAACAAAAACCACCCTAAACCCTAAGCCTTAAACCCTAAGCCCTAAACCCCCCTCCAAGAAAAAAACACCCTAAACCCTAAGCCTTAAACCCTAAACCCTAAACCCTAAACCCCCCTCCAAGAAAAAAGCCACCCTAAACCATCCCTGGGTAGTTCTCTAAATTAGGGTCCCTTTTAGGGTCCATTCTATAAGGGTGCCGTACTATATTGGGGACTTAGAAAGGGACCCTAATTTAGACAACTACCCTCCCTGCTTCAGTGAAGATCGAGGCCTCCCATCCAAGCAGCGCCGCGGGCAGCTGGAGGCACTTTTCACGCTCAGGGAGGAACCTTGGGATGCTTTCCTTTTGGGTTTCAGGGTTTTAGGGTTCCTTTTGGGTTTCAGGCTTTTAGGGTTCCTTTTGGGTTTCAGGCTTTTAGGGCTTAGTGTTTAGGGCTCCTTTTGGATTTCAGGCTTTTTTAGGGTTCCTTGTCGGTTTCAGGCTTTAGGGCTCCTTTTCGGTTTCAGGGATGAGGGTTCCTTTTAGGTTTCAGGGTTTAGGGTTTAGGGCTCCTTTTGTTTTTCAGGGTTTGGGGTTTAGGGCTCCTTTTGGGTTTCAGGGTTTAGGGTTCAGGGCTTCTTTTGGGTTTCAGGGTTTAGGGTTTAGGGCTCCTTTTAGGGTTTAGGGTTCCTTTTGGGTTTCAGGGTTTAGGGTTCAGGGCTTCTTTTGGGTTTCAGGGTTCAGGGTTTAGGGCTCCTTTTCGGTTTCAGGGTTTAGGGGGCTTTAGAGGAGGTGCAGGCTTTAGGGCTCAGCGATTAGGCCTGTTTGCCTTAAGAGGGGGTGAGGGTTGCATAGGCGCTGGCCGGCACCTAAGTCCGTGCTGAACAAGGGGCTTTGGGGTTTCGGGGTGGAAGTTTTGGCAAGACTTACTTGAGTCCAGTGGCTCAGAGAGACCTCGTTCAAGAAAGGGCTGGACTAGGTTCGAGATCCGAGCTGTTGGCAGAAGGGTTGTGTTGATACGGGGTGGCGGGGTTTGCATGCTTAGCATCGGTGTGCCCTGAATATCCCTGCATAGCTTTCTTATGATATGGCTGGTTCAGGGTTCAGGCTTGGGGTATAAGATTCAGGGAGAACGTGGACCCGTGTGAAACCCTTACAAACCATCGAAAGAAGCCCGAAGCCCTAAACCCTAAACCCAAAATCTTGGGCAATCACTAGGCTGAGTAGTCAGTATGACGTAGTTGGACACAGAGACCTCGCCTGGCGGAGCCCGAGTTGCGAGAGCGTAAACCCTAAAACCTTGAACCCTGAACCTTATAGAAACCCTAATCCCTAAACCCTAAACCCTAAACCCTAAACCCTAAACCATAACCCCAAAGCAAACCCCAGCCCAAAAGGTCCAAGGCCCTGCCGAAACCTTGTCAAACCGAAAAGCTTTTCAACCGTAAAGCTGCACCCTCCCCCCCTCGCCGCTAAACCGAAAGCCTGTAGGGTTTAGGTTGAAGGGATTCAGGGCACAGTGCTAGCAGAGTGGCTACCTACCAGGCGTTCCTGCTTGCAAGCCTGCAGCAAACAGGGATTAAACGCTAAACCCTAAACCCCAAACCCTAAACCCTAAAGCCGGCCTTGTGCGAGTGTGAGAGTCGAAAGCACCAACTCTCAACACGAAAAGAGGTCTTGGGCGGGCTTGAGGCGAGTGAAGGTGGGCCCGGGGGTCGGCGAGGGTCGCACAGATTTCCGCTTTGGCGTTGGGCCTTGTTTTTTCAAATCTACAAGTTTTGTTGTATAGGGCGTTCGTTGCAAATAGAGGGTTCCAAAGGCATAGATTTTACGTCGTCTCTTTTAATGTCGATAAGAACTGTTTGCGGTCCTTAAGTGGTTAGGTGCTATATAATTCATTCACAGGCTGTGTTTTTAGGGGCAGGGTTGGCGGCTTATGGTTTCCTCATGGTTCGGGGTTGGTGGCTTTAGGTTTACGCCCCAGGGCGCTTCCAGATATTACGCTTTAGTGGTTCGGGATTACGGATTTGCGGCTCTACGAATTGTCAAACAAAACCCTAACCTCTAAACCCTAAACCCTGAACCCTGAACCCTAAATCCTAAACCAACCCTAAATTGTCGCCTTTGTTTTGGTCTTCGCCCGAGAGTCGGCTTCTGACAAATTGTAGGGCCGTCTTTTGGAACCCAGTCATACCTAGTCTGACCTGAGCGACCCGCCGTGTAGCTCATCGGCTTTTTCATCGCTGCGCGAGTCCTGCGCACTGGCTTGCCCTTAACATATTATAAATATATAAATAAACAGATAAGTACAAATAAATAAATAAATGAATAAACAAATAAATAAATAAATAAATAAATAAATAAATTTATATATATATATATATATGTGTGTGTGTATAATATATATATATATATATATCTTGCTGTATGGTCGATCGCGGCTACCGAATGATGGCTCCCTTCATCCTAAACCCTACTGTAAACCTCGCCTATCATGTCAGAGAGAGAGAGAGAGCCGGAAGCAATGCCTTTCTCTGGGAGTCTGGAGGCCCTTTGCCGAAAAGCTAGAACGCTGTTGTTGGATGGAGTCTTTGATGACACTGTAACTCTCTGGCCATAGTGGAGACCACAGCCAGATGAAAGGCTGGGCATTAGACTCTGTCACACTGTACTTTTGCGCAAGCACTGCCTCAAAGGCGCAATCAGACCAAACCCTAAACCCTAAACCCTAAACCCTAGACCGCGCCAGTGGACATAGCTCCTCGCAGCGCGAGAGGTAAAGAAATCCCGAGAAAGTTGAGCCCGAAGCCCAGGTGGAGGCAGTCTCCACTCTGGCTTCCGGTAAGGAGGCCGCCCGGGGCTGTATTAATGGTAAACAGGGTTTCGATGAATGATCTGGTCCTGAATCTTAAGCCCGCGACAGTAGGGCTTTAGGGCTTGATGGCATGGGATTGTGGTGGATTTTGGATGTAGTTTGTTCGGGAATTCAGGGCTCAAACAGGTCACAGGGCTTCGAGTGCTCCACGTTTGTAGCTGTAGGGTTCAGGGCTTCAGTGGCTCGAAGGGTTTACGGGGTTTCATATTTTTAGGGGTAGCTGTTCTACTGATGCACTGTTATTCTATCATGCTTTCCCTTCAATGGGAGAATTGCACATGCCTGTTCTGTTATTCTCGCCACCACCGTCGAGATTATGATCATCGCCACTGTGAGTTGTGACTTTGTATTTTTCATGTCCGAGTTCTGTTGACGATGGCCCGCGCAAAGAGCCAGAGACATCGACAGCATGGCTTGCAAGGACCCATCTGAGGTCCCCGAAACCCTGTGAGCGCCGAAAACCGCAATCCAGGGTCTTGAAAGTGTGGGAGGTATTGCAGAGGGCTGAATAGTTGGAGTAGGGTCTTGGGGCAACGTATCGTAAAATGACAGTAAGGAAACACCAGCTATTCAGGAGGTCAGGTGATAAGTGCTGATAGGTTTAATAAGGGCTTTATCATGGGATATGTTAGGGATCTTGGTGTTCTATCGGCTCGGGGGAGGGAGAAATTCCCTACAAGATGCCCCATTGAATACTTGCTCAGGATACTAGGACTAGGACCCTGAGCCCTTAAACCCTTGAGCCCTAAACCCTTAGAGCAAGCCGGGATCCGAAACCACGGGGAACCTTACGGCAGGCAGTGTCACACCATGCCAGTTGCAAGGCATACAACAAGTTGTGTATCAACAACGGTTTAGGGTTTGGGGTATACGGGGTTGTGTGTTGTCCAATAGAACCCTATATGGAAGCAATCTCTCGGGCCATGCAAGCTTTGTAATGATATGAGATTTTCCGAAAGCCCCGGCTTTTCACAGAAACGCTTTCTGTTGAACACCAGCATGAAGCGGACGACTACCGGATCCGGACAAGGAAACCCTAAAATCCAGGGCCTTACAAGACCTGCACAGGAGCCTAAGGCCCTACACCGTAAACCCTAGTCAGGACTTCCAGCCGTTCGCATGCCGAAAAGTCCGTCGCACCTAAACCCTAAACCCTAACCCCTAAAACCTATACCCCTAAACCCTAAACACTTTTACAAGACTCCGTAGACCTTCAAGTCCCGGTTGTGAGTGCTGAGCAGAGCGTAAACCCTTAAATCCCGAAGCCAGCAACACCCTCCAGGACCCTTTAGAGACCCTTAAGAAGGCCTAAGCCCTTGCGCCCCAAACCCTTAACCTCCAAACCTCTACACTCGTAGATGTAACACTGAACCCCTAAAAACACCGAGAGTTCTGAGTCCTGAACTCTGAACCTAAAACGAATAAAACCCGACCCGAAGCCGTACAGGACCGGAAAATTGCTAGGACTATCCCTCAGTGTTGTTGTTAATATGACTATGCTATTAATACACCCCGAAACCCTATTCTACTTGTTCAAGCTATTATATTGAAGGTGGAGGGCTACTTCCGCATCTCGAACATGGACGTCTTCAACGCGACCGACGAGGAGATCCTATCGTCTCTGGAAGAGGCATCTTGGCTTCGGGTTTAGGGTTTAGGGTTTCGGGGTTCAGGATGGGTTCCTGTATCGGTCGGGTTCCAGAAGGGATTTTTGAGGGTTTGGAACACGGGGTTTAAGCTTTCGGGGGTGGTTTCAGGGTTGAAGCTTTCAGGGTGTTTTTTCCAAAAGGAAGTGCTCGTAATAAGGAGTACTGGCTTCGGGCTTACTTTCCCGGGTTTTGCGGAGTGCAGGCTCCTTAACAACCCGAAACCCTAGACCCTAAACCCGCGTGTTCGCTGTCGGTCGGGCTCCCTCGCTCCGCTTCGAGTCCTGCCGTCCGATGTTTGGCTTCCAGGGTTTAAGGTTTGGGGTCTGCCAGAAAAGGCGACGTTGGGGCTTTCGTGCGTGCAGCTACTTCTTTCTACTACTTTCGAAAGCCTTGTGGCAGTGTTTTCGGGCTTCCACTTCGTTCCTTTGTTCGACTGTACTCGGACCTCGCTCTTGAGTGTGAAAAAGTTTAGGGTCTGGCGCAAGCTCCAGGTCGAGTGCTTGGAAGCATTCCTGCAGGGCGTTGCCGTGCTTGATAATATTGTGCTGATGCCGTGGCACCTCGGTCTTAGGCTCCTATGCTCATGCACTCGGTCGGCCTTAAACCCTCTTAAATCTACCTCAAACCTTGAACTCCAGCAGGGTGAGTTAGGACCTTCGTTTTGTCCTGCAAGGTGCTCAAAAAGAACTGCAGAGGATCCCGTCACGCATGTTGGCCAGGGCTTCAAGGTTCAAGGTGGCCCTGCCGAAGGCCTCCAAACGGAAGACTTAGTAATGTGTTCCTGTCTAGACTCAAGTCCCTTCATAACCTGGGACCGGCTGCAAGCCCTCTTCCACCCAGAAATCCTATGCCAGCCCAGTTGGGTCATGAGCCGCCGGGCTGAATGTGTATGTCCGGAGGGTTGAACATGTTTCTGGTGAGTGAAACCGAGTGTCCGGGTGAGACCCACTTATTCCGGGTTGGTGACCGAGTGAAGAGGCATGCGTGGCAGATGAGCACCAGTTGGCCCGAAAAGGAACGCTCATCCTGGGTGCCTGTGAGCACTCATTTGACTCACTTGGGTTAAGTATCCTGGGAGTTAGTTAAGCAGTTAAACATGCCTTTTTTTTAGTCAAAAAGTGAAACACGTGTTCTGGGCCGGTCCGGAAAGAGAACACTTCTCCTGGGCGGTGACCATGTTTTTTTGCTCAGAACGCGGACACTTCCACTGGGCCGGTGAAGGCTGCTTTTGGCCAGAAAGTCAACGCTTCGCCTGGTGAACACTGCATACTTATCCGGCCCCGGGACCAATGCTCAGTTTTCGATTCTACTTTGAAGACTGAACACTTATCCGGCCCAGCATAAGCGCCCAAGGAGTTTTTAACGCTTATCCGGCCAGGGCGTGTTCAGTTTTCGAGCACAAATATGGAAAGCACAACCTTTTTCTGGCCCAGAATACGTGTTCAGCTTCAGACCAGAAATAACTGTTGATCTCGTCCGAACTCGGGTGTTCAGGCTTCCCGATTTAAGTGTGCAGCCATCCAACATTCAGTGATTCACTTCGTCCAGATCTAAATGTTCAGCCGTCCATATAGCGGTCCAGAACAAGTGTTCAGTTCGTCCAGATTCAAGCGTTCGGTCGTTCTGCTTTAAGTGCCTTTTCAAAAAACATCCCGCCTGACCTGGACGAGCGCGAGTACCAAAAAAGTGCTTTTTCAAGAGTTACAGGCAAAGGAAGCCCCTAATTGTAGCATAACATGCCCCAGAACCCTACTCTGATTATTCAAGCCCCTGACCTCAGCAGTCGGTTTTGCTCGACGCTGCACCTTAAACCTACGTCCGAAACCCCTGGACTGGTCTCAGGTGGCCTTTCGTCTGGTGGTCGCCGAGCAACAGATCACAACGTTTTGCACTAAGTGAGAAGACAAGATGACAAGCAGTTAGAAATTGGTGCTTCAGTGTTGGGGTGTGGGGTTGCGGGTTTAGGGTTTAGGGGTTTCTGACATTTTCGGGCCGCGGCTGAAGAACGGCAGATGAGGCAATGCTGGCAGTCATCAAGTCCGGTTTCAAAAAAGGGTTTAGGGTTTAGGGGTTGAAAGGTTTGGAGGCTTGAGGTTTGAAGGTTTCGGCTTGCACAAACTTCCAGCTGGAAAGGCTGCTCGTATGTTGGGGATCGTTCGTGACCCGATGATAGAACAGAGTCCTCACAGGACGCAGGTGCTCGTAAACGCTGGGCACCGGGAAGCCTGTTCTAAACCCTAAAAGTTCCCTAAAGCCTAACCCCTAGAGCGTTTTGAGCTCTTGGGCCAAGGCTCACTGCTGACTCGGCACGTTCCTGAGTTGCGGGTCGTCCGGAGGTCTATAACATAAACCCAAGACCCGAAACCCGATTAGTACAGAGGTTTCTCTTTCATTGGGTAGTTTCATACAGGATCTACTCCAGGTCCTAGGCCCTATTCCCCACTTTGTTTCGGCCAGTAGTGTAACTCAAAGCTGAGAGGAGGGGCTTTTCTGGACAGCCCTGTGGGGATTCCGAGTTGCTCGGCGGACTTTTTGCGCGTAGGGGCGTAGGGGTTGGAAATGCTGCTTTGAATCGTCTGACAGTCCCTATGTCCATATACGATAACGTACATCCCCAAGACATAGTTTGTTAAGGAGTTAAGCCCGCACTCTAGAACCCAAACGATTGAAAGTCTGAATCCAGAACCTTGCTGGGAGCCTTCAAAAAAACATATTGCCCCTAAAACAAGTAGCCCACCAGCATATGGGTTAAGATAGCGTTTGTTTCACAAGTCCTGTTGTTTAGACCATGCCAGGTTGAACCTTAAACCCTAAACCCTAAACCCTGAACCCCAAACCCTAAACCCGAAAACCTAAACCCTGAACCCTAAACCCTAAACCCTAAACCCTGAACCCAAAACCCTAAACCCTAAAGCCTTTCACCTGACGACACCTTTCCAGCCAAGCACACCTCGCTTGTGAACATTCATCTCAGCCATGCGAGCGGGACAAAAAACCACGACCCCAAACTCGAAACCTAAACCCTAAACCCTAAAACCCTAAACCCTAAACCCTAAAACCCTAAAGCCCTAAAGCCTCGAAGCCCTAAACCCACATGCCTCGCCTGGAGTGTCCGAGTGTGAGCTCCGAAACCTTCAACCCTAAAGCTTAATCGAGCAAGGTTCGACCTTCAAACCGAGGCCCCAAACCGGAAGGCCTACAGGTAGCATGAGGGTTTTGGGTTTAGGGTTTAGGGTTTAGGGTTTCGGGCAATGACTTCAGATCATGCTCTGCACAAACAGTCCGGTCGAGATCCGACAAGGCCGTTGCAAAGGGTTTAGGGCAATGCCCATGAAGTAGAAATGCCCAGCAAATTCCAAGAGCAATTCAGAGAACCCAGAGCCCTTTTGCTACGAATGCCTTAATCCTAAACCCTAACCCTAAACCGTAATGTCAGTTCTTTGTACCCTACTTCGCGACTCGCTCAGCCATGTAGGAGGCAAAAAAAACCGTAATGCTGGAAATCCCTAAACTCTGTAGCCCTTTAGCCCTTTAAGCCAACGCCAAGGACCAGCTGTTCCCAATCCTCACTTCAGTCCTCTCGGCGGCCGAGGTCCGGGGTTTAGGGTCCTTATGGGGTTTAGGGTTTTGGGTTTAGGGTTTAGGGTTTTGAGTTTAGGGTTTTAGGTTTAGGGTTTAGGGTTTTGGGTTTAGGGTTGAGGGTTTAGAGGGCTTGTTAGAAGGGTTCTAACATGGTTTGCTCAAGGATTTAGGATTTGAGTCGCAATAGGCCTGGATGCAAAAGAGGGGACTGGGGATCTCATGGTGTTGCCAACTTTGCGCAGGCTTTCACAGGGAGCTGTAGGGTCGAAGGGACAAGGTTGGGGGTGTATACTGCAGGGCTCTGAATGCTTCGTAAGAGTTTCTCCTTATAGTTCCTACAAAATCATGCTGTTGTACTGTGCTGTACTCTGTTTGAGTGCTCGGGCGCCCAATCCTTGCTATAGTGTGGGGGGTGCCGAGTAGGAGCACAGAGCCGTGGATTCCCGGGCTTATTATGTTTAGCCTCTGGGGGTTTATGGTATCGGTTCTTACTTGAAGTCGTTGCGCTTGTCACTCGACAGCAGGGGCTACGTGAGTGAATTGGCATGGCAGCTCAGCTAGCGGCGTGTCTTTGTCTTGTTGTGGCTTCCGGCCTTGCCCGGCATAGGTCGAGCGTGAGCGTCACCGAACGGAAAACCCAAGCCTTTGCGAACCTGAGCTTGGTGCGCCAGGCCCGTGGCGAAAGCCGCACGTCGTTGTTGAGCGTTCCGGCCTAAGCTGCGGACTGTGCCAGAGGGTTTAGAGTGTAGGGGTACAGGCGCACCCACCCATCCATACATACATGCTGGAAGGGTATTTCTATTGCCTTATGATTCTATCTATCCGTTCATCCGTGTCTACCTGTCTGTCTAGGTGTTGACTCTATCTGTCCATCTACATCTATATGGGTAGTTCTCTAAATTGGGGTCCCTTTTAGGGGCCTTTTTATAAGGGTGCCTTACTATATTGGGGACCCAAAAAGGGACCTAATAGAGCCCTAAACCCTAAACCCTAAACCCTAAACCCTAAACCCTAAACCCTAAACCCTAAACCCTAAACCCTACCCATATGGTGTGGGGGTTGCTGTAACTGGCGCAGCATCGACAGGGCTGTTCAGGGCGAGGCCTGGCCGGTGGCGGCCAAAATTGATATAGAGGCCTTATTAATTAGAGTAGGGTTGAGGGTTTAGGGTTTAGGGTTTAGGGACTATAAGCACAACAAGCAACCCCAAGACCCTGATTCTAATCATTAACACCCCTAGGTTCATTGTCTCCAAAGACGCCTGACCCCGTCCGAGGTTTTCTCAGGTGTGATGACGGCGTCGGGGACGGATGGCGAGGAGTTGACACAGGCAGGTTTTGTAGGGCCTAGGGTTTAGGGCTTCCAGGGTCCAACTTCCGTGCGAAGTCGCAAGCCTGCTGCAAAAGGGTTTAGGGTTGGAGGGTGTGCCAACTGCAACACCGGTCACATTCATGTGGCTTTTCACATGTTATGGAGCTGACGGCGTCGGCAGACCCGAACGCCCAAACCCAATCGCCAAATCGATTGTTTACGGTTACAGTAGGGCCATAAGCCCGGCCCCACAGTCCGCGCTCAAAAAACGGTGTCGGGGCCGCTGCAGAGGAAGTACTGCATGTGGATGCAGCTTAGGATTTACGCCCAGGGCTATAAAAGAGGGTGACCAGACCTATCATTCTTTATAACCACTGCTTTACGTAGGTGCTTATAGCCTTACTTACTGAGTCCCATGATCCTCCAAGTAGGGTTGAAGGATCGCGGAGGCACAGGGTGTTCCGTTACTTGTTTCGAGTCTGAGGAGTGGAGATTGCAATCCCAAGTCCATTCATCTTAGTAGCTGAGTAGGTCACCTTTAACCTTTTGGGGTTTATATAATCCTACCATAATTGAAAAGGTTAGCCTGTTTTGGGCTAGGGCACTCAGCCCCTAAGTCATGAATAAGGATTGCTTAAACCTGTCAGCCCATAAATCTGGATAACAAGACTCTTCAACCCCTAAATCCAACAAGCTCTCTTACAGTAGCCTTAAACCCTAGCCGAGTAGTGAGTGGCGAAAAGACTCCGAAGATAGCCGCCTTAGGCTTCACCCAAGTCCAAGCCCTACGATCAAAACAACCTCCAGGAAATGTTGGCCGCGATGATGCGCGAGGCGACGCCGCAGGATGCTTCCCGCCCGGGGCACGTCGAGGCAGCGGGACCTTGTGGGTTTAGTGTTTAGGGGGAGCCACACCGGGCTTGAGGGCTTCGGGTTTGGACAATGGCTTTGGATTCTTCCGGATGAAGAAGGGGCATGCAGGTGTCAGCTGGGCCGTTGGGATTCATTTAGGGTCTGCGACCTGCCATCCAGTTTCAGATGTGGGATGTTTTTGAGGATTGAGTCGTCACTTTCTGTCCGCGGATGGATGGTGCAACCAAACCGTGCTATACACTGACACGTCCTTCAAAGCCCAAGCCGCAAGGTCACGTGCTTCTTCTTGTTCTGTCGTTCTAAAGAATCGGGGGTTCTCGCTGCCGCTGGCTTTGCTTCCATTGCTGCTTGCAGTAGTTTCAAGAATTCCGATTGTGAAACAACAGCATGGTTAGGATGACCACCGCAATCATTCCTGCTTCATGTATTGCATTATGAATAATTACAATAGTTCCTGGACAGGTTTCTGTGGCATCTACACCTTATAAGTCCCGTTGCCGCTATCAACACGTATACCCAAGACCCTAGACCTCGACGCCCTAAACCGTTACGCCCTAAACCTTTAACCCTTCTGATCTTTCAACCCTGAACCTTTACCTCTGTAGCCCCTAAGCTTTAAGCCCTCAGGCCTTAAACCCTCAACCCTCTATACTCGGTTCTTCCGCACTTCTCTGCTCGTGCCCCAGGAGGAAGAGTTGGGTTCGCTAAAAGACAGGTGCGGGCCTCAAAGCCAGACTAGCGTTTGGGCCTTGGGGTTCAGGATATCAGGGTGTTGGGTTCTGGGTTTAGGGTTTAGGGTTTGGGGGTTAGGACATCCGCAAAGTTTAGAATCCCAAGCCTCAACCCCTCATTGCTCTCGTGGAGTATCGAATTCCTAGGCCTACAGCTCGTTGAAGCTTCGGCGAGCCCCTCTCAAGATACATTTCGAACCTACTTGCATCCTGATGGCTACGTTTGCCGAGCCCCCGCAGGTATGATTTGCTACTGATCAGATTGATGCCCCCGACTGTTTGTGATCCTCGTGGCCCCCGGTGGTGGGGTAAGTGGCGTCGTAGTCGTAGTAGTCGTAGAAGTAGTCGTAGTCGTCGTAGTAGTAGTAGTAGTAGTAGTAGTAGTCGTAGTAGTAGTCGTAGTAGTAGTCGTAGTAGTAGTAGCCGCAGCAGGAGGAGAAGACCTGGAGGGCACGCCTTGTGGGTCTTGAACTGTTGAGTTCAGAGCCTGCGGCATTGCTGCTGAGGAGGGGGGAAGCCCGGCGTACGGACCACCTCTGACCCACCAATCCCAAATCCGAAGCCTTCGCCATTTGGGCTACACAGTCCCGCTTGCCAGCAGCATGTCAACGAACGGTGCAGCTCATAGCATTACTTTGCCGAGCCTCTGTAGTCGTTCGCCCGACCTACTGAAGCTACCCGTCGTCAGTCACTACTGTTTTTGGATTTTTTGATAGTTGCCGCTGTTGCAATTTTGGCAATTAAGTCTCATTATCAATTTTGTTTTTCTTACGGTCGTCACCACGGCTGGAGTTCTTGCAATCACAGTATGTTTCGCCTGTGTTCCTGCATTCCTGCACTATGTGGGAGTTTCCGAAAATAAGGGGTACCTTATTTTGGGGTCCTTATTATAAGGATCCTACTATTTAGGGTACCATATTAGGGTCCCCTAATTTCGGAAACCCCCATGTAAGATTTGTCACTACTACCTCTCTCCTTTTCTGTGAGAACGGCTTTCACCTTGCAAGAGAAACCCTCAAACTGAAAGCCCTTCTAAAATTCCCTAAACCCTAAACCCTAAACCCTAAACCCTAAACCCTAAACCCTAAACCCTAAACCGAGACTTGAAGACCAACCCCAAACCATACACCCCAGACCTAGGCCCTAAACTTGAGAAACCAACTTTGGTGGCCAGGGTGCGGTTGGCCATGTACTCCAAACTCGAAGACGGCTCTCTTGATCAGGTGCCGTGGAGTTGGGTTGGCAGTAGAGTGTGTTGAGGAGGGCTTCCCAGAAGCAGAAGCGACCATGCGATTCTAACGGAGTTCCCGTGGGATCTTTAGAACATGAAGGATTCTTTGGGCAAAGAAGTCATCAAGCTTTCAGGAGGAGAAGGCGGATAAGGGTTTCGGGTTTCGGGTTTGAGGTCAAAAGCGTCTAGAGTTTGTTCTGAGTCAGGAATCCAGGTGCGGCAAGACCAGGTCTTCAGCAGAGAAGCTGCAAACTTAGTTGCGACAGAACGGCCAATCAGGATGACCAGCCAGCGCAATCGACATCCTACTGTACGTTTCGCCGCTCTGGGCGACACTGCCATTTCGACCTTCATGAAAACCATTGCTGCTGGCACTTCTCCTTTTCTATACCTCAAAGCCTTGAGCATGGAACTGCCGTGTAAGGCGGGGCAGTAGCAAAGCCCGACAGCCCAGAAAATCTCAAAAGTCAGCAACAAGCCCATGCCTGACATCCTAAACCGCCTAACCTCCAACCTTTCACAGAATTTCTGCTGGAGCCTAAAAAGGACGCTTCGGAACACCCCTGCAAAGACAAGGATCGACCCTTGAGTCCGAAGGGTCCTGAAGCCTAAAACCTGAAACCTAAACAGCAAACGCCTAAACTCCACATTAAGCCCCATAAGATGGCTAGAGACCTTAGCAGCCCACTAAGATCCAGGGCAAGCCCCCGAACCCGAACCCTGACATCTCCTAAACTTTTCATCACGAACCCACTGCAACCTTTAGGGTTAGGGTTTAAGGTTTAGGTTTTAGGGTTTAAGGTTTAGGATTTAGGGTTTAGGGTTTGGGCGCCCCTGAAAGCCACAAAAGGGTCCGATACAATCCATACAACATGGAGCAAAACCCGAAAAAACCTTTAACTATTATACCTTTTTCACCCCCTCAACAAACTACGAGAACCATGCGACCCCCTGAAGCAAAGTTTTTGGGCACCTTATACAAATAATCAGCTCTGTTTCAATAGGCCCTAAACCCTAAACCCTAAACCCTAAACCCTAAATCCTAAACCCTGAACCCTAAACCCTGAACCCTCAACCCTAAACCCTGAACCCGAAACCCTAAACCCTGAGTCCAAACCCAACGCCAGGCCCTGCAGGAGGCAGCGGACACGGCAGGCCGGGAGCCCGGCGTTCATGGCTGCGGTCCCCTGCGGGTTCAGCCTTCAGGGTTTTAGGGTTCGGGGTTTGGGGATTGGGGTTTAGGGTTTAGGGTTTAGGGTTTAGGGTTTAGGGTTTAGGGTGTAGGGCCAGCCTTTCGGGTTGAAGGTTTGGGCTGTAGGGTTCGGGGTTTAGGGGTTTAGGGGTTGAGGGCTTTAGGGGTTTGGGGTTTGGGGGTTTCGGGTTTAGGGTTTCGTTTGTAGGGTTTAGGGTTTAGGGTGTAGGGTCTAGGATCCCGGGCAACAAGGCAAGCCCGCTGCAAAAGGGTTTAGGATGTCGACTCGCGCGCTGGCACTGGAGGCATTCACGGGTTCCTGTGTCGGGCAAGGCTTTGGGGTGCAGGGCACAACGCCAAACCCTGCTAAACCCTAAACCCTAAACCCTAAGCCCTAAACCCTAAACCCTAACCCTAAACCCTAAACCCTAAACCAGACTGGCAGATAGACAATGCAAGCGACAGAAAGTCCAAAGCCTTCAGAGATCACGATGAGACTAGGGATTTGTATACCAACTAACATTTATTTTTTGTTTTATCGTTTGCGTTTCTCAATCAAGGCCTGAGCCCCAAAACCCTAAACCCGAAGACCATGCCAGCCTTGTGCGAGTGTGTGAGTCGAAACCCGAAGACCTACAAACCCTAAACCCTAAACCCTAAACCCTAAACCCGAAGACCGACAGCCGAAAACCCGAAAATAAATCCCGAAGCCTTGCTCCCAAGAGCGAGGTGCGCAGCACTTCTCTGACCTGCCCCCACCACCACCGCCTCTCGAGCTTCGGCAGCAGCTTGGGGTTTAGGGTTTAGGGTTTAGGGTTTAGGGTTTAGGGTCTAGGGTTTAGGGGTTTAACAACACATAATGGGGCTGAGGGTTTATAGTAAACTCCCAAAAAGCTGGAAATCGGATTAAGGACAGTTAGTGCTGGGATTCCCTTTACTACCTTTACATCACTCTTAAGGATTGAGGCTATTGGGTTTCCAACTTTTAGGGTTTCGGCGTGAAGCGTTGAGGGTTTAGGGTTCATGGGGCCTTCGGCGGTGCAAGTTTTTAGGGTTTAGGGTTTAGGGGTCTCTAAAGCTCTGGACCCTAGAGGTGAGGGCTTTTTTGGGGGGGTATTTTGAATAGAGGGTTAGATATTACAGGGCTGAGGCTTGGAACGGTGTGGGTTCGCTTTAGGAGAACATGTCCGCACATGTTTTGAAGGGTTTTCAGACATAGTGTGTTTACATTGGCTTAAGGGATTTTCTGGAGTCTTGGTTTGTAGAGGTAGCTCAGGAAGGGCTTTTATGGTGCAGACTTGCAGGCTGGGGCATTTGGGGGCAGTAGGACTTTCCAGCGACTTCAGATTCAGACAACTTGTAGCCGGGGCCTGGTTTGAGCCGGTTAGGGCTTGCTAGCTTGTCGGAAGTACGTCACGACAACCCATGACCCCGAAACTCTAGAATGCCTGGAAATGTGCATTACATACCTGCGAGCCTTACTTAGCCTTACTGTGCAGCATGCCCACCACCCGGTGCCCACGTTTCTCGAAGCCGGAGGATGCTTGCGACGACGGGGACATCGCAAGCACCTCAGTGCTCAAGTGCGCGGTTTTCGGATTGAGGGTCTGCAGCTTTCTATTGGACCTCGGAAGCCACGGCGAGAGGGAATTGCTCTACCCAAAAGGGCTTCTTGGCAGGGTTCCTTCGGGTTTAACGTAGAGGCCTTCTATAGTGTCGGGACTGGTGGTCCGGTTCTCTCCAAACTTGCCCTACCCCACCCAAACCCTAAACCCTGCACCCGAAGCCCTAAACCCCCCAAACCCACACCGGAACCCGAGCCCCTACACCCTGAACCCCTAAACCCTAAACCCTAAACCCTAAATCCAAAACCCTACGCATCTGAACTCCACCGCCCCGAAAATCCGTAAGCCTTAACCGAGAGACCTTCGGCCTGCACCAGTGCCTACCTGCAGCGAGAGGTCGTGTCGAAACCCTAAACGCTTTCGGGGGTTTAGGGTTCAGGGTTTAGGGTTTAGGGTTCAGGGGTGTGTGTGTGTGTACGCCTAAGCCCTTAAAAACCCCTGAAACCCCTAAAAACCTGAAACCTCTAAACCTTCGACAACCCCAAAACCCCTAAACCCCTGAAAACCACCCAAACCCCGAAAACCAACACAAAACCCCCCAAAGTACTCGTAAAAATCCCCGTGAAGACCGAAACCCTCCAGGCACCCTAAACCCTAAACCCCTAGGCGCCAAAACACCCCAGGAGGCCGATGCCGTGAGCCAACGACCCGCCCGCGCCGCCGCGGCGCCCCGGAAGGAGATGCAGAGCCTGGAGAAGGAGCCGGAGGTCAGGGTTTAGGGTTTAGGGTTTAGGGTTTAGGGTTTAGGGTTTTGGGGGTTTGGGGGTTTGGGGTTTAGGATTATTTAGGGTTTAGGGTTTAGGGGTTCAGAGTTTAGGGTTTGGAAGTCACTGCCGCGGGCTATCAGTCCGGTCGAGATCTGACAAGGCCGTTGCAAAAAGGGTTTGGGGGTTTAGGGTTTAGGGTTCTTTTCCCTAAAGCCCTAAACCCAAACCCCTAACCCGTACATTTAAAAAGGGTTTTGGGTGTAGGGGTTAGGGGTTTAGGGTTTAGGGTTTGGGGAGAAATGAGCCGGAGGCAGGCCGGAGGCCGGTTCAACCCTAAGTTTTAGGGTTCAGGGGAAGGAGGGTTGAGGGGTTTAGGGGTTTTAGGGGGGTTTGGGGGTTTGGGTTTAGGAGGGGTGTAGGGTTTAGGATCGTCTGCAGGGTTTACCTGATTGATTTCCGTTTCTGAAGTCCTAAAAATGGTGGGGTTCCGAGGCCAAAAGTTACTTTTAGGGTTCAGAGTTTCGGGGCCCATGGTTAGGGCTTAGAGTTTAGGGCGTAGGTTTTGTCCGGCCGAGATCTGACAAGGCCGTTGCAAAAGGGTTCAGTTGGGGTTTAGGGTTTGGGAGGGGCTCACGAACGACGAGGCTTCACAGACTACATGGGTGGTTGTCAAAATTATGGTCCCTTTTGGGGTCCTTATTATAATACGGCACCTAATATTCAGGGTACCCAAAAAGGGACCCTAATTTTGACAACCACCCACATGGAAGAAGGGTCCCGACAGGGTTCTATAGGGTCTCTATTGGAAGCTGGGAGGGGTTTCAGAAACTTCGACTTCGGCGTCTCTTTGCCCCTGACCTCTGAAACTCCCTGGAACTCCTCTGTGCTCTTATGTGAGGTGCAGGCTTAGAGTTGAAGGTCTAGGATTTAGGGTTTAGGGTTAAGGTTTTAGGGTTTAGAGGTTAGGGTTTAGGGTTAGGGTTCCGGGCGAGAGAAGCCTGCTGCAAAAAGGGTTTAGGGTTGTTCAGTTTCCTGAAGGTTCCGCGAGTCTCAATGCCAAGGTTGGTTTTTGCAGTATTTTGGAAGCAAGCCCGAAACCCTAAACCGTCGGGGCTTTGCGCTGTTTTCGCTGGGGCTCCATGAAAAGGTTTCAGATTTCAAGTTAGGGGTCGGGGTTGTGCTGTAGGGTCATTCTTCGTTTTTTCGGGTGAGTGCTAAGGGGGCCTGTTTCAGAATGCTGTATTCTTAGCTGGCTAGGTAGGTAGGATAGGTGTAGAGCGATGGATAGATAGATAGGTAGATAGATGCTGGCTACATGTACAAGCAACAGCAGTTAATTATGGTCTATTTACATCGCTACGGTACACACAGCTATGCGCCCTTTCTCGATGTTGGTACTAGTGCTACTATCACTGATGTCTTTCAAACATGAACAGATGGTACATGCTCCAGGGACTGAGGAGCCTCTTGGGGGGTGGGTCGCTTCCGTGCCTTTGGCTCTGGGTCCAGAGGCTTCAGCTTCGAAGCCGTGGGGACAGGTGGTTTGGGCCCTAGTTTAGGGTTTGGGGTTCAGGGGATAAGTACCCTAAGCCCTAAACCCTAAACCCTAAACCCTAAACCCTAAACCCTAAACCCTGGGTTCAAGAAAAAGGGGGATAAGTGGCTCAAGCCTATGATGCTTCTGTGGAAGTCCGACCACTCCCCGAGCCCTGGCCTTAAACCTCCTGTTTGCAAAACCTGCAGGCCCTTTGAAAAGCGCTTCAACACTCCTCTGAACACCTAAACCCCAAGCCTGTGGTTGTAAGTATGAGACCCTAAAACCACCAACCACTCCAACCAGAAGAAGCACCGTAAAGCCTGGCAGACCGAGCCAATGCCAGCCGCAGAAGAGGCGGCGCGGCAGGCGGCGCAGGCCCTCAAGGGGGCTTCATCCAGAGGTCTGGAGTGCTGAGTGCTTAGTATCAGGGTTTTGGCGCTTTAGGGCTTGAGCCTATCGGCCCTGTATACTTACATTATTCAGGGCGTCCAAAAAAGGGTTCCGTAAAGTTTCGAAGGTTTGAATAATGTCTATAAGTATACCCTTTCTTTATTGCAGGCTGCACGCACGACTACACTAAGAGGAATGTACCCCAACCATACCCATATCCCTTCGATACGATCCCTATAAACAAAAAGTCTGAGACGCCTTTTTATGCCTGCTTTTAATGACCTGAGGTCCGAAGGTTTAGGTTATAGACGATTTAGGCTTTAAGGTTTAGGGTTTAGGGTTTAGGTTATAGACTTTGTAGAGTCTGGACAGTCTGGGTATTAAGATGCCTGCATTTTGGGGGCCTCCGCAAAGCTTTCGAGATGACCTTGGGCTTCCAGGGTTTAGGGCAAGGGCTCAGAGGACTGCCATCTTACCAGCAGGTGCTTCGAAACTCACATAATTCTTACAAAACTTTACGTCCTTGCGACAGGGACCGGGACAATGGCCAAACTTAAAACCCCTAGCCCCATGGCCCCGCCACCGCAGACCGGCCCCAAACTAGGCCAGCATGTTATGCATTCTGGCTCAATTTGCTCCTCAGCCTCGATAGCTCGCATCCAGTGGAAATGTACCAGCATGCGATGTCTTCGGCCTAGCCAGGCAAAAAGAGCAAGCATGTCGATAGTAGTAGAGAGCTACTGCGTGGTCACAAGGCTACACGCTCACCAAGTACATCCCAGGCATGTGAATGCGTATGTTAAGCCGTCAAGAGCTCCTGCAAGCACAGGTGTAGGCTCATGTCGATGGCGACGCCTGCTGCGCATTCAGGCGATGAGATCGATCAGAATGTGCGAGCAGATAGCACGCACCTCAACACAATGATCCATGGGCAAGACACACACAACTTGGCGCAGTCGCTGGAGCACGTCTCCCACCCGACGGGGGCTTTGAAGCGAATGATCTCACCGACCCTTGGTCAACGTCAGTGATTCTTCTTACATTTCTCTTGTGGTTGAGTGTCCTAGTACTTTGAAGGGGAGTCCCTGAAACGGATCATCTCATCTTTCATGCCTGACTGGAGTGAAGCCCTACGAAAGCGCTTTGGGGCTCTAGAACAGAACCCTAAGCCCTAAACCCTAAACCCCAGAAAACCCTACGAAAGCCTATTGCAGGACCAAGGATATCCTTTCCCTGAACCTCGCTCTTCCCCCACAAGAGCCCTAAGAGAGGATAGGACTTCTGGAGCCCCTCTGAACCCCAATCTTTGAACCTGATTAAGAAGCCCTTGTCCCAGCCCTAAACCCTAAACCCTAAACCCTAAACCCCAGAACCTCAAGATTTTGGGATCCATTTTAGGAGCCCTAGTATGAGACCCAAGGTTTCTTAATCAGGTTCCAACATTAATACCTACACCGGCAGCTGGGTGCGTGGGAAAAGCTTAACCCGAAGCCACCACTCCTGGAGCCCTCGGTCTTAGGGTTTAGGGTTTAGCGTTTAGGGTTTAGGGTTTAGGGTTTCTTAAGCCCTAAACCCCCCAAAACCCCGAAAGCCGCTAAGCCCTAGAGTAAATTCACCTACTTTCCTGGGAGGAAACATGACAAGGGCTTGAACAAAACGGCGAAAGCTCTGAGACCCTAAACCCGAAACCCCCGAAACCCTAAACCCCCTAAACCCCAAAGCCCCAAAGCCCAAAAGCCCTAAACCCTAAATCCCCTAAATCCCTAAACCCTAAACCCCAAACCCGAAACCCTAAACCCCTTAAACCCCCAAGCCCAAAAGCCCAAAAGCCCAAAAGCCCAAAAGCCCAGAAGCCCAAGAGCCCAAAAGCCCAAAAGCCCAAAAGCCCAAGAGCCCAAGAGCCCAAGAGCCCAAAAGCCCAAAAGCCCAAAGGCTATCACTCTAAACCCTAAACCCTAAAACCCTAAACCCTAAAAAAAAGGCTATCACTCTAAACCCTAAACCCTAAACCCTAAAAAAAAAGGCTATCACTCATGGAGCCCGTGGGAGCTGGCCCGGAGCACCAACAAACGGAGCAAAAGAGCCACTGGGTTCTGTTCAGGGGTTTAGGGTTTAGGGTTTAGGGTTTAGGGTTTAGGGTTTAGGGGTTTAGGGTTTAGGGTTTTAGGGTTTAGGGTTTAAGGGCTTAGGGACTTGAAGATGCGTAGCCCAGGTGTAGGAGGGTTTCGGGACGTCAATGCTTTTTTGGGACGACTTGCTCCTTAAAAGGGACCAGTATACCCTAAACCCTAAACCCTAAACCCCAAACCCGAAACCCAAACCCTAAACCCTAAACCCCAAACCGTAAACCCTAAACCCTAAACCCTAAACCCTAAACCCTAAACCGTCTAAGCTGTTCCCTGCCCTGGTTCAAACGCCCAGGCCAGTCCAAGGTCGGCTCGTTTGCTGCTGCCCTAGCCTCTGCGCTGCTGGGTTTTCTTTAGTAAATGGGTAGTTCTCTAAACTAGGGTCCCATTTTGGGTCCCCAATATAGTACGGCACCCTTATAAAAAGGATCCAAAAAACCCTAATTTAGAAAACTACAGAAATGTTAAGCAAGGATAAGACCAATAGTAGTAATAATTACAATATGAAGAAGAAGAAGCAGAATCACAAGAAAAAGAGTAATCACAATACTCGTCATAATCACTAGTCATAATATAAGGGTTTCATCCTCCGTTTTTAGGACTTTCCCTCGCGGTAGTGTACAGGGGTTCGCCCGGACTAAGTTAATGTACATGACGCTTCGTAACAAGCGCCCAGGTTAATCAACCACATGCTTATGTTCGGCATGTGCTGCTCCTACGGAATGATCATCTTCAGTGAAGAGCGGAATGCAGCACATCGTGCCCTGGGGGTGAAGATGTGCTTGGCGGCATCCTTCATTGGTGGTGGACTCATGTGGGAGTTTCCGAAAATCCTAAACCCTAAACCCTAAATCCTCAAGCATACCCTGCAATGCGGGCTCGTCTTTGCCATGTAGGAGGGAAAAAGCCCCAGTAAGGGACCCTGAAGCCGTCAACCTTGAAGCCGCGAACCCGAAGCCCTGGGTCGTCGGATCCTCATGAACTCCGTCCGTCATTATGTCAACTTGCAGATGTATATACATATATACATATACACACATAAATATATACACATATATAACCCCCACACGCACGTATACATATATATGTATATGTATATTTATATGTATATGTATATGTATATGTGTGTATATATATGATATATGTGTATATAAGTATAAGTATATGTATATGTATATGCATATGTATATGTGTATATACATACATATATATAT